AGTCATTATGGATTGAAATGCCACGGGTGGTGGAGCACTTCCATCTCACCCATAGGGAGCCACCAGTGCAGTGCCACATGCCAGGGTGAGGCAGGTGCCATGGTGCAAGGCTTGGCCCATGCTTTGCCATGGGGAAGGAGTGGGTAGCCTTCATGCAGGTGGTGTTGGCACTCCAAGGTTGGACTTGAGGATAAGCACCAGCCTGAAGGATGCAGATGTGGGTCCACACAGGTCACATGATCCATCACCCACAGCAGCATGGGTGTCCCTCCCTTGGAGCACAGATGGAGAAAGCATCTCTGCCAAAGGCTTCTCCCATGGGGACAGTGGGGTCAGAGACCTGGCCCAGCCCTAGGAAGGCTTCAGCAAGTTTTACCATCATGTGTCAAGGAGGGGAGGAGGCACCTTACCTGTGTGCAGCACAGGGGTGCCTGAGCATGTAGGAGTGCCATACATGTGTGTGGAGCCGCCAGCACCCTACACGTGGCACCCAGCAGGGTGCAGCAGGCTATCAGGCAGGGCAAACAGTTGTCAGGAGTTCCTGATGCCCCAGGGATGCAGTAGGATGATTAGAGTTGGGATGCAGCTGATAACACCATGGTCTGGCTTTCATGCTGGATCCACAGTGAGACAGAGGGTGCCAGCACCCATCCTGCACGGGCACCCACTTGTCAGTGCACAGGTATGGGTGACACATGTTCATGTGTGGAAGTCTCTGATAGCTGCACTTGCTCTCAGGTGCAGCCCGTGGCCTGTGAGAACAGCGAGGACAGGAGCATCACCCGCGTGGATGAGGGGCTGGAGGACTTCTTCGGCAAGAGACTCATCACAGGGGAGCTGCCGTAAGCCCAGGGGGTGCTCATGGCCCCGCACCCCTCCCCAGGGCTTGGGCAAGACCCCTGCCTTCACCTTCCCTACAAATGGTCCCAGTGCCAAGGAGATACTGGGGGAAACATAGCACTCAGGGGCACTACCGAGGGCAAGGCTGATGGGAGAGGGCTGGGATGGCAGCCATGGGGCAGAGAATGTGTCCAGCACCCCATGGCCATAAGACTGGGAAGGCAGTGGGGCATCACCTACAGGGTCCCATGCTGGGAACATCATCTCAGGTGGGATTTCCAGGGTCTAGATCCATCCCTTAGAGGTGGGAGGGGATGGGGGAAGGAAATGCAGCCCAGAGTTCACCTTTCCCAATGCTCCATCTCCCTCCAGCCCCACGGCTCCAGAGACCTGCCCTGGATCAGCCCCGCTGGCTCCCTCCAGCTCCCGCACCCTCAAGAAGAAAATCGGGATTTTTTTTGCCTTCAAGAAACCCAAATCCAGCCGGGGCTCGAGGTGTGAGAAGGACCCCGAGGGCGCCCCCCGGAGCAGGCGCTCGATGCTCACTGACATTTTACGGGCGCCCAGCAAGGCGAGCGAGGCAGGGAAGCCCCTGAGCAGATCCGAGGAGGGGGAGCTCGCTGCCGAGCCCCGCACAGAGCCTGAGCACTGCCAGACCCCTGGCTCTGCCCGCCGGATCAGGCCCAAGTACTCACGGGAGGGCAAATCCCAGTCACTCATACTGCTGTCCGGGGAGGATGAGGACGCACTGGGGGTCAGGCAGGACAAGGTAAGCACCACCACCGAGCCACCGCTGCTGCTCCGCTCACCTGGTGGGTGCTGCTTCCAGGCAGACCCAGGTGGTGGGGTCTGCCAGGCACCACATGGGGACACTGGAGTGGTGGCTGGGTTGTGGCCATGCCTCCATCACTCAGGGGTATGGCTGGGGCTGGGGACCTGGGTGGGTGCTGTGGTGGGTGCTGTGCCTCTGGCAGGGCTGTGTGTGTCCTGCAGAAGAGGCAGCTGGAGAAGAGCTACGGGGAGCTGCCCGGCTCCTTTGAGCAGCGTGTGCAGGTCATGCTGCACCGCATCGGCATCACCAAGGGCCAGGCTGCCGAGGGCAAGAAGCAGCAGGTAGGTAGAGGACAGATCCTGCACCCAAAGGGTGGGTGGAGGCGGTGGTCCATGGGGTGGGGGTGCCTGTGCCGCTGCTGCCCGTGCCCTCTCTCCTGTCACCTAACCCTCTTCAAGGGGAACGAAATATGGACTCCCGCTCACAGCATGGTGTCTGTCTGTCCCTCCTTCCCTGTGTGCACCCATCCCCTGCAGCCACCCCAGAGCTCAGCAGCACCCTGCCCTCTGCATCCATCATCCCTGAGGGTAATGCCACCCTGACCCCCCCTCACCAGGTTTATTTCCCCTTGCAGAGCAAAGACAGCGAGATCAAGAAAGCTGGCTCTGATGGTGAGGAGTTGCATCCTCCCCCTGGCACCCATGGGTGGGCACGGGCATGTCCCCTTGGGCTCCCAGCTATGGGCCCCAGCACTCCCTCTCACTTGGTGCTGGTGGCATGGGGCAGACCCAGGTCACTGATGCTGGCTTGTGTCTTGTGCTTGCAGGGGATATTGTGGACAGCTCTGCAGACTCACCCCCATCCCTGAAGGTCCGCACGCACTCTATGTCCACAGGTAAGTCACTGAAGTGGGTTATGGGAGGGTCACACCAGCCCCCAGAGCAGAGGGGTCTATCCCCTCTGCTAGCACCAAGGAGTGCTAATGGGGACTGCTGGGCACAGGCATGGGCATTTGGGCAGGGACCCACCCTTGGGACAATGCCCAGTGCTGGTGACAGTGGATGGAAACCAGTACCTGGGGTGGCTGCAGACTGGTTCCCAGCACATAGGATGATCCCATCCCCTGGGGTCTTGAATCCTGTGTTCAGTTCTGGGCCCTCAAGACAACAGAGACACTGAGGTGCTGGAGCGGGTCCAGAGAAGGGCAGTGGAGTGGAGAAGGCTCAGGGGTGCCTGTATCGCCCTCTGCAACTGCCTGACAGGAGGATGGAGCCAGGAGGTGGCTGGTCTCTGCTCCCAAGGAACAAGGGATAGGACCAGAGGAAACAGCCTCAAGCTGCACCAGGGGTGGTTTAGACTGGATGTTAGGGACAATTTCTTCCCCAAAGGGTGTTCAGGCATTGGAACAGGCTGCCCAGGGCAATGGTGGAGTCACTGTCCCTGGAAGTGTTCACAGACCATAGACGAGGCCCTCGGTGACATGGCTCGGTGATGGCCTTGTCAGTGCTGGGGAGCAGTTGGATGTGGTGATCTTGAAGGTCTTTTCCAACCTCACTTATTCCATGGTTCTATCCTTACTGCACACCCGTGGCTCTGTCCCACCCCCCACAGACACACCGTTCCACAGCCCGGCTGCCGTGGTGGAACCCCAGCCAGCCTGGAGACCCCTTGGGAAGCTGCTTCCCGCTGAGCCGCAGGGCACCAGCTCCCAGCAGCCCCGGCATTCCTTCATCCTGGCCGATCTCAGCACGGTGCCAGAGCTGGGGCCCCGGGAGGGCTGGAGCAGCAGCCTGCCGCGGCTGGGTCGGAGTGTGCCGGTGGCCTTGCCACGCAGGGTCAGCCACGGCGGGGAGGCAGGGGCCAGCAGCCACCTGCCCACACCACCCGACACTGAAGGTAAGGATGTATGAGCCCATGGGGTCCTTCTTCCCACTGCTGGCCTGTTCCTTGGAAATGACGGCAAAAAGGGACCCAGCACTGGGTGTAGAGAGGTCTGCCAGTGAGGTTGGGGTGCTGCAGGCTCCCCATTCCCACTGCTTCTCAGACAACCAGTTGACGCCACGGCTGGCAGTGCCATGGGGGATCGGCCGCCGAGCTGTGTCCATTCATGAGGAGCAGCTCAGGGAGCCCGAGTGCCTGGCGGAGCTGGGAAGTAAGTGGGGGCTGGAGTAGGACCACGAGCACCCCTCACACCCCACCCACACCAGAGGAGGGAGGTGCTGGCTCGGTGGCATTCTTTTGCCTGGTGGTGCTACCTGTCCCAGCTCATGGGTGGCCATCCACGGTGCTGGGGTGATGGATGATGACATCATTGCACCGGGAAGATCACATGGGAGACTTGGCACTGGGATTGGCTCCTGCAGCAGCCTGGCTGCCTGAGCTCTCAGGCAGAAAGGGGGAAAGAGTCAAGCAATGGGGCTGGGTAACCATAACGTGGGGCTGGGTTGTGTCTCTCCCAGTGGGCAGCGTCCCCCTGCGCCTGCGGCGGTCACCTGTACTCAGACGAAAAACAAAGCATGAGTCCCTCCTGGAGCCAGACAGAGAGCCCAGAGTGTCCTTCAATGCTGCAGGTGAGATAAGATGCTCCCCTCAGTTGCAAGGTTTGGGGTACAGAGGGTTCCTCTGCACTCACACCAGCACACTCCGTAGGGGCCGCACTGCAGGACTGGCCTCATGCTGGCCTAGAACAGCTGCAGGCTGGAGCAGGCACTGCCGGCGAGTGGCCACAAACTGTTGGGAATGCACAAGACTCAGCAGCCATAGACCAAAGACCAGGCCGGGGGCAGCCAGCCCTGGGACAGTGAAATGCCTGCATGCTACTGCGCTGCTCCCAAGAAAACCCTGCAAGGAAGCACACTGTGCCGGGGGATTGGCAGCTGGGGCGCAGGAATGCTCCATACCAGGCCAACGATGATCACTCACCTTCTGCTGCAGGGATGGACATCACCCATGAGGACAGTGACGCCCAGGGACCGTGCCAGAGCCCTCAGGATGCTCTGAGCACATCACCTAAGCAGATGGCCTCCTCTACCGCTGCAGGGGTAGCTGGTGGTTTTAGGATGCAGAAACTTTGAGTACATGTTATCAGGGCCCTTTCACCACCACAGCCCCAACCCCACCAGGTACCAGCCCCTCAAGACGCAGGTTTCCATCGGCGGGACCATGACCCACAGCATTCCAGCATGCAGCCCAGTGCCAGCCCCACAGCTCTCCCAATTGCACCAGCATTATCTCAACACCCAAGCAGCTTTCTCCTGTGTTGACCTCCGCTCTGGACCAAACCCATTCCTTACACGGATATTTACGACAAAGCAGAAAGATGCTTCTTTTTTGTTTAGTTGTTTTGGGTTTTTTGCCTTTTTTTTTTTTTTAATACAAGAGCTGTGTATTTAAAAAATATACAATTTTTATTTTTCATTTCTACAGCATAACCCTGTGGGGTATTTTTTGTAATGAACAGTGCAGGACCCTATGGAAGCCAACCAATAAAACATCCAAACTCCCTTGCTGCCTTCGGAGCGGAGATCAGATTGGGGGGCTGACAAACACAGCTCTGCTGCGGTGGCACTGTGTCACCACTTGTCCCCATCCACTGTGCCAGGGAGTTCTGAAAGGATGGAGAAGGTGAAGTGGGAGAAGGGAGCCAGCACCCCTGAATGGGTGCTTTCCCCCATTCTTCAGCACTGAGGGTGCTGGCCTTTGACAGGTCATGTCCCCAGAGCCTCTACAGCCAGAGCCTCTACAGTCAGGCCAACCCCACTCAGTGGGCCCCTTGGGGACAGGGGTCCTGTTCCTCCATCCTTCCTCCAATTGCTCTTCAAGTTAGCAGCCTTAACTTGAACCAGTGAAGAAAGGAAGGACAGGCTGGGCTCAGGAATCCACATCCTCCATCAGGACCCAGCAAGCCCACTTCAGCATCACCTTTGAGATCCTGTGAAACCACAGCAGGGGAGCCAGGTTGAGAAGGGACCTGGCTGGGGACATGCCACCACACACCAGGGCAGCCCAGCAACAAAGGGTAAGGCAGAATGTGGGGACCTGCCACAGGGATGCAAGTGGCATTGCCTGCATACCATGGGACCAACCGTGGTGGGGACAAGGGATGGCCACACAAGGTGTGTCACTGACCTGATAGATCTTATCTGCTTGCAGAGCTCAGGGCTCGGTGCCTCATATTTGTACTGGAGTGGCTTCTTCTTGTACTGCAGGAATGAAGGGGAGGGCGAGGTTGGTCACAGAGCCCAGAGCACAGCCCCAGATCCCAGGAAAACCCTGGAGCCTCTCCCTTAATCTTTTCCTGCTCTTCCAATCTTATTTTACCCAGATAGCTAGAAGATCCTCCAGCAATTGTTGGATTCCACCCAGCTTGGGCTCAATCCCATCCTCACCCAGTGCCTCACATCCTCCTTCCATAGGGCTGTGGCCACCATGTATTGGCAATACCTGCCTTCAACTCCTCATCCCCAACAGCCAGGTGAGGAAAGGCCTTTGGGGATGGACCCCAGCAATAGGGGGGACCCAGAGAACCTCCCAAGGCTCCCTCCTCCCCAGGGAACCCCACCTCATCTTTACCGGCTGCAGAGCTTTGCGCTGCTCTGCCTGGGAGCTGGGGCCACTCACTACAGCTGCTTCCTCCTCCTCCTCCTCGAGCTCCTTTCCATGCTGCATCCCTGTCTCCTCTTTTCTGCTCTTCTTAGCACCCTGTGTGCTCACAGGCTTCAGCCTACTGCCCATCTCTCTCCTCTTGCACCTCCGGGCACCTCGGGGATGCTGCTGCTCATGGTGGGCTGGCTGTATTTGGCCATCTCCTTCCAGCAGCTTCTTCCTGGCACCCACAGCACCTCCTCCCAGGAACCTGACACAATCCAGACCATGCTCCAATGTATCTGGAGGGAAAGTGGTGACACTGGAGTCTGCCTGCTCCTGGTGAGGCATCCCTTCGGGCAGGGCTTGCAACCAGCTGCTGGGCAAGATGGGAGCAACTGGAGAAGGAGGCACTGGTGTTGCCTTAGAGCTCCCCAAAGCCTGTGGTCCTTGGGAAGGACTGGGGGCATCAAAAGCTGCCTCCATGGCTGATGGTGCCTGTGTGGTGCTGGTCTCCACCAGACTGGCATTGCCATAGTTGCCGAGCAGGGGAGAGGAGGTCTGCACTGGCACTCCTGGTAACCTGCCCTGAGAGGATTCCTGACTACACAGCTCCAATGAGTCCGAGGTGTTGCTGTCAGCAGCCACATCTTGCTTGGTCTTCAATGGAGGGCCTTGTGAAAGTGTCTTCTCTGGTAAAGAGTAAATGCATGGTCAGTTTGGGCAGGAGAACACTGGAGCTCAAGGATGCAGGCACAGGCCAATGGGAACACTACAGCACTACATTTTAGCCAGAGAAAGCAAGGCAGCAACCAGGATGAGCTACATCCAGGATGAGTCACGCAGCGAGAGGAGAGGTGCTGTCTCGGGCCAGCAGGGTAGGCTGGGTGGCATGGGGACTCACCATCTGAACAGCTCATGGTCAAACATACTGGGGGGAGCCTGTCCCAGGGGGTGTCCATAGATCCCTCCGGGCTCTCCGACAAGGCCGTTGACGCGACAGCTGCAATGATGAAGCTGGGGGTTGACTTCAGCAAAAAAGTTTGATCTTGGCCCACTCCCAGCCTTGTGGTGGCTACAAAGAACTGTGCACAAGCTCCTGCAGGTCCTTCTGCAGCAAAGCTTGGTGACACAAGCCTGTCCTGGTGACGAATCAAGCTCCTGCACTTGGGCAGACTTGTCCTCTGTGATGGCATCAAAGGGACAAAATCACTCATGTTCACAGCACAACAAACCAAAGCTGCTCAGCTCAGGAGGCTGCAGGAATGGGACCATTCCCTGCCTGCTCAATGCAGGGCTGTGAATCCTGGTCTGCCAAAGACCTGGCCAGGCCAGTACCTCCTCTGCTCAATCCAAGGAGAAAATGGGCTGAGGGAACTGCAGAGGAAACTACAAAGAGACTGGATAGGATGGGGAGGTCTCACTACTCACAGCTGGGCTGGGATATGATACTCAGCTCAGTCAGCCCCATCCTGCCATCACCACTCTCCCTGGGAGTTGCTTCACTTGTCTCTGCAATGAGAAGGACATTGATGGTCACATCCCAGAGCTGGAGGAAAGGGAGTCATCTCCCCACTGAACTGCCCACCCACATACCCTGCAAAGGAAGCCACTGCACTGACCTGCCCGGGAAGAATCACAAGCAACTGCCCCCTCCTCAGGAGGGACCACCAGGATATTGGCCGGGACCACGAAGGTGTCCTCACCCTGCTGAAATGAGACACTCTGCATGGTTCTCGTTGGGCAGCTTACTTGGGACACAGGAGCACACCCATAACTGGTGGCTGAGCCCACCTCTCTGCTCAGCAACCCTCCAGCTCTGCCCTCCTCTCACCCTTCCAAGCACCACGAGCTGTCACAGTGCTGCCTCAGGTGTCACAGTAGCCAGACTCACCTCTTGCTTGCGCGCTGCCTCCCACTGTGTGACCTGAACCTCGTCCTTCCCTGTTGCCGGCATCATCTTGGGCACCCCTAAATCCAGGCATTCCTCAGCACTTTCCTTCAAATCCTCCAGATGGTTTTGTCTTATGGCATCAATCAGCTGAGAGATGGATGACTCTGGAACAAGAACACATGAACATCAGTGAAGAAGACACCTTAACTCAGGCAAGCCTCCCTTGCAACAGCTTTTACTCTGCTGCACGACTGCCGTGTGCACTAAAACATGGTGAAACACAAAATTCTGCATTTCCTTTGCTTCTAGAAACTCTCTCCTTTCTCTACACAGGTCCTGGAGCAGCAGAAGGTGTGCAATGGCCCACACTGCTTTAGCTGTCAGCACTATCTTGACCTGCTTTAGGGTTAGCTATGTTGCCTTGTGAGATCTGGTCAGGTTTGTGCTACCCTTGTCTAACAGGGACCAAGGTAAGTAAAGCGGAGACACCCACCAGGCATGCAGAACATCACATGCCCCCCATACCTCTTTACCTGAGCTGGGGCTGTCACTTTCAGGAAGATTCCTTCTGCAATAACAAAGATGACAAAACCAGGTTAAGGCTGAGCACATGCAGGCCAAACAGCCCTCTGAAGCTCTAACAGATCAAGCACCCCGGCTTGAGAGAAGCAGCTTGTGGAAGTAATGGATTCCCCACTGGGTGCTGGATCTAGCCACCAGTCTTTGCTCAGGACCAGGATTTCCCAGGAATACCCATCAGGAAGCCTTGCTCCTGAAGACAGACTGAGACTTGTTCCTGGAGAAAAGAAGCTTCATGGAAAGCTCATAGCAGCCTTTCAGTGTCTGAAGGGAGCCTACAAGGATGGCGGAGAGGGACTGTAGCGACAGGACAAGGGGTGATGGGTTTACACTTAAACAGGGGAGATTTAGGTTGGATACAGGGAAGTTCTTCCCTGTGACGATGGTGAGGCCCTAGCGCAGGGTGCCCAGAGAAGCTGTGGCTGCCCCACCCCTGCCAGTGTTCAAGGCCAGGCTGGAAGAAGCTTGGAGCAACCTGGTCTATCAGAAGGTGTCCCTGCCTGTGGCAGGGGGTTGGAACTGGATGACCTTTAAGGTCCCTTCCAACCCAAACCAGTCTGGGATTATATGATTCTACAATGGAGACCTCTGTGGGTCTCCAGTGTTGGGTCTCCAAGCATGAAGACTGAGCTGTGTGGAGCTCACCTACCCAGCCACGCAGCCCATGGCTGGGAGGAACAAGTTTCCTACAGGTGTTTCTTCCCAGCTCAGAAGAGGCTGGGGATGGAGAGCCCTCCGCATGGTCTACGTGGCTCCGTCACATCCTGTGCTAGGTTGTCCATCAGCTGCCATAAACTAAACCTGCCCTTGCCAGGCCGCAAAAGCCTCAGCCAGAACCATGCTCTTGTCATGGTACCTGGATATGCTCCCCAGCAGTGGCGAGCCCATACTTACAGCCAGAGCTTCTTTACCTTCTGCATCACAGAAGGCTCCTTGTTCCTGCAGTAAGAGAGAAGCCAGTTACCAATTCCCTTTGAATCCTTCACAGCTTGCAGTGGAGATAACTCCCCTTTCAAAGAGCAGAAAGTCCCCACCACAACCAGGTCACAACAGGACTCCCAGTGGGTTGAAGAAGCCCCCCCAGCGCCAAGCTCCCCACTGTACCCGTCAGATGACTCCAACCTCAGCTTCTCTATGGGCAGCACGATGAACTTCTGGACCCGGAGGTAGAACTCACAGTCCTCCTGAGGGGAAAACAGAGCCCATGAGTCACCTGCAGTCCCAGCCCTGCTCCCTCCTGCCCCAGCTCAGGAGAGAGAAGAAAGACCACCCATCACCTGCCTCCATCTCCTGGGAGCAGGTAAGTATGCAGGAAGCCAGGAATAAGTTGCTTCCACTCATAAGAGAACTCACCGGCCTGGCTTCCTCCTGGAAACACACTGTGTACTTCTGTAAGACAATAATTCTGCAAATGAGGCTGGGAAGTCTGATTTGCGTGTGGGTGCTAGAAAAAGAGCAGAGCAGGAACATCTTGGAGAGATGAAGAACGGAGGTGGATCATCCAGACACACAGAGCTGCCCCAGCAGTTACACCAACTACACCAGGGCATGGATGAGACAATTAGATAGGGGTTGCACTACACGAGCTTTGAAGGTCCCTTCTAACCCAGACTATTCTAGGATTCTATGCTGGAACACACCCCAGCATGAGCGTCAAGGACCAAGGGCTCCTGGCTCCTGCAATTTATTCCTTCCTGCTTATCCTTGGCTCTAGGGAAAACTGATGAAGAAGCAGCCCAAGCTCCCATGTTAATGCTCTGGTTCCTTTCACAAAATCCACAGGCTCTTTAGTCCTTTCTAGTCACATCTACATGTGCACCGCAGCTTCTGCCATCACCCCCTGCCCATCCCAGCCGCCAAAACCAGAGCACCGAGCATCAGTCTTCTGGTTTCCCTCCCTTGGCAGCTCTTTCATGCAGACTTCCCACCCTATGATTGCTTTTGCTTAACACAACCTGAAACAATGCCAGGCATAAGCCCCACTAGCAGCTGTGGAGAACCACTGTCCCAGCCACAGCCTAGGCATGGTGGAACCCACTTTTTCTCTGACTGCAGAGCTTCGGCTGCAATGACCACACGGATGTAGTAGGACCCATCTGAGACCTGCAGGACAGCATCTTGGACAGCCTCAGGTTGGCCTGGCACAGTTGAGTCACACAAGACCTATGAAGAGATTGAGGAAGGGAGAAAAAGAAATGTCACTTACATACTTCCCTGTGAACAAGGCCAGGACACACAAGCCTGGCTGAAAGTCCAGAGTCTTGGGAAGGAAGGTCACCATCCACTATGAAGCCAAGTGGTTTTTACCCAAACCAGCAGCAAGAATCCAGGCAAAAAGGCTCTGGGCAGGTTGGGGACACATGCTCTTCTGCCCAGCACAGGGAGACAGAGCAGCAGTAAACAGTAGTATCACGACAGCTGTTCCCTTCTGAATGGTGTAGCAACCCTGAGCCTGTATTAAACCATGTCCATACTGGGTCAAAACAACCCCTGAGGGAAGTACTAAACTGCTCCTCCAGATCTCAAACCTGCCTGTTCTATGGGCTGGGAGCTGTGGATCAGTCCTGGCCTGTTCCAGTCCCTCCAGCAATAGGCTTCTCCTGGTACCTGCCTACAACTTGGTCACAGACATCACATACGTCATCCACCTGACTGGTGACGCTGGAACATGATGCACAAAGAAGGAATGTGAAAAGGCATATACCATCATATAAGAGTGCCACCTTCATTTATAAATGGTGTGCATATGTTCTTTCATAGCTTCCCACCAAGCTAAAAAGATTAATCCATCATAGAATCATACAATCCCAGACTGGTTTGGGTTGGAAGGGACCTTAAAAGTCATCCAGTTCCAACCCCCTGCCTCAGGAAGGGACACCTTCTGATAGACCAGGTTGCTCCAAGCCCCATCCAACCTGGCCTTGAACACTGCCAGGGATGGGACAGCCACAGCTTCTCCAGGCACCCTGCGCTAGGGCCTAACCACCCTCACAGGGAAGAAGTTCTACTTCATGTTACTTACTGTCAGGGCCACCCATCAACTGGCATGGTACAAGGAAGGAAGAGATGCAAAGAGGAGGAGGAGGAAGGCAAGGCAGCCTGTGAGTGTGAGGCTAGGAGGAAAGATGAGCTTGGCGACCACAGACATTTCGGATGAAAGCAGGTCATACCTACCAGAGGTGCAGAAGTTAGAGAAAGCTGCCAAAAATGGGCAAATCAAAGCTCCTCCAACTGAAAATGAGGGATTCTGAGGAGGAAGGGTCACCCAAACAGACACCAAACCGGGAACCGCTGAACCCTTCCAGGAATTAGGATTTCAGATGTTGGAGCACTTTAGTCCCTCTCAATACTCACTCGCAGCACCTGCCCAGCCAGGAGATTCTCACTGAGATCCATCTGCTCATAATTCAGGAGGAGGTTGTTGACCCAAGGCTGCAGGGTGTAAACTTTAGGAGAAGCCATATTCTTGTTCTTGTACACAAACCTGAGAGACAAGGGAAGAGGCACCAAATCGTCAAGAGCAGGACACAGCAAAGCTCCATCATCCCAGTAGTGATTTTGCACCTCAATTACAGCCACAACCCCAAGAAATGGCTCCAGTCCAGCCCCAAGCTGGACACCCATTCTAAGAGAGCTGTGCTGGGTGAAAAATGGGGTTGATTGAAGAATAGGGCTGTTAGGCTTTGTTAGCTTCGATAAGCTTTGCCAGAACCACCTGGTGGTTACTGATATGACAACGATCCTGAAGCAAAGTGATGAAGAAATAACCACCAGGGGTCCCAAAGCCCACTACCACATTTTATTGCGTATGCGGGAAGAATTCTCCAGGAGTATGATGTAATGTATGTAATCTAATGAATATGTATGTTTAAGGACAATATAATCACAGCCGGGTTGATGCTAGGATGAGACACGCTAGGAGGAGCTATCCCCCATGTCCCCCGGCGCCGCAGTAAAGAATACTTGTCAACTTCAGCTTTGCAGTCGAGTTCCTGGGGAGCTCTCCGAATCGCGGGGAAGATGCGCGTCCTGCAGCACCCACTCCTAGCCTTTTGCCAGTTTCCCGCCAGGTCAGGACAGCTTATTTTCCAGCGCTCCCCATACAGCTGATCAGCCTCACCAGTAGTTATTTTCCTGCGTCCAGAACTTACCGGTCACTGTCCTGGCCGCGAACGCGGGCAGGGGACACGCTTTGCTGGAGGAGGACCATGCAGAGGGGCCGGGCAGGGGCAGGGTTGGTGAGTTCCCCTCTGTCCTCACGGTCCCCCCGGGGCGGCCCCAGCCGCCGCCGCCACCGTCGCCCTGCGCGGCAAGCGGAACCCGGTCCGCGATCCGGAAACAGGAAATGGGGCGGGGCGCCTCCGAGCGCGCCACTTCCCCTTCCGCAGCGCGGCTCCCTCCCTGTGCCATCCGCACCCGGTTGCGCAGGTGGGTCGGTGTGGTGGGCCTCGTCCGCCTGCGTGTCCGCCGTTCCGTCCCTTTGTGAAATACGAACTCACTCCTCTAAACGAAATAACGGAGTTTTATTGAGGGGCAAGGTGAATGAAGCAAAAGCCCCAGCGCTGGGCGCATGACCGTAGCCAGAGGCACAAGCGATTAGCATTTGTTACAGGTTTATATACTTTCCCTATTGTGTTAGTGACATGCATATTCATAATTCCCACGTATAGGCAGGGAATATTATAACTAACTCCCGGAACTTACTGTCATAAGCCTCCTCCCCTTGGCGTCTGCACACTGCTCTCCGGTGATTGTGGGCAGGGGTCTTGAGGATGACGTAAGCAGCCTTCCTCGCGGTGTACTTTTCAGCTTTGGCACAGTTGGACGCCCCAGTAATCACACAACTGGCTGAAACCAGCCACATCTGTAATTCTTCTGATAGCTGGCAAAGATTTAAAACAGCGTGACCTTCCTGCAAAATTGATTGCAGGATAGGCAGACAAGGAGTATCCCAAGCTAGCAGGTGTTTGGGAGGCTCTGTCTCTTAACTGATAGCTAGAAGGATGGTGTGAAATAACTCATTCGTGTTTAGTGGGGCCACTAAATCCTGTTGTCTCATCACAGGCTTACAACACAAACATTCCTCTTTAAAGCTAAAGATACTTTCAAAGACTAGTGTGAAACAATTAACTCATGTTTAGGGGGGCCACTACATTCCACACACTTACAACATAAACACTGCTCTCTTTCCGCAACCTAAGTTAAGCTAAAAAGTGCTTTAACTCTATGTTCTCCAGGCACTAGCTTTTCTTATATCAAGTCTTCCTGGCCCGTCCCCTCCTTTCTTTTGCCTTTACAAATTCTTTTGCTATGTGACTCCGTTTTGCTCAACAGTTCTGGCCCTTTTTAACTTCTTGTCTAATCTTGTGTCTTTAGCGAGCTTTGCTTCTGTTATTGTAAACTGGTACAGTTATATCCACATAACCACACCTATGATTTGCGAAAACCAATACATTTATGTGTTTATGTGTGAGTTCGGAGGCACAGACCCAGAGGTAGAGTGCAAGCTGGATCATTTATTGCAAAGTTTACACGATATTTATATGCTTCCAAGAAATTAGCCAAGTACATCTGTGCTTGCCTTGCGGTTACATAGGTGAAAGGTCTACCTGATTTTCCTATCGACATCCTCTTTCCAGTTCCGACGTCCTTGTGCCTTGCCAGTTCCAGCATCTTCCAAGTACCAGTCAGGGACGGGTCACTCTTAATTGCCTGCTGTAGTTCCTCCTTCCCATGGTCTCTGACAGTTTCAATACATTCCAACCCCCACATTTATCACACTGGCAAAGATTTAGAACAGTGTGACCTTCCTGCAAAATTTATTGCAGGCAAAACAGGACAGGCAGACAAGGGGTATCCCAAGCTAGCAGATGTTTGGGAGGCTCTGTCGCTAAACTAACTGGTAAGTAGAAGGATGGTGTGAAATCATTCATTCATGTTTAGCAGGGCCACTAAATCCTGTTACGTCACCACAGACTTACAACACAAACATTGTTCTTTATCTTCAACCTCAGTTAAGCTAAAAGTACTTTAACCCTACGTTTTCCAGACACTAGCTTTCCTCGTATCAGTGTATGTGTCCCCCACCAGCACCACACACACACTTTTCTTTTACCTTTACCAGTTCTTTTGCTGTGACTCCATTTTGCTCAAGAGTTCTGGCCATTTTCAACTTATTGTCTAATCTTGTGTCTTTAGCAAGCTTTGTGAACTCATACAGTTATATCCATATAGCAACACATATGATTTGCGAAAGCCAATACATTTATGTGTTTATCAGACCATTCACGTCTGCATCCCCATCACTATCCCTGTTTATAACCCTATCCCCATCTGTATCCTTAACCTTATCCACACACCCATCCCTGTCTGCATACCTAGCCCTGCTCACATCTGCATCCCCAACTCCATCACCATTCCTATTCCCATTCCTATTTGCATCTCCAAACCTATCCTCATCTGCATCCCCAGCTCCATCCACATCTGTATCTCCATCCTTGTCTACATCCCCACTGATTTCCAAGCAGTGCTAGTGGGGTGCTGGTTTCTTCAACCAGAACCCCACCACTAGGGTGAAGGGACACTCATATGTCCCAACTGCTCCATCCCCACCCTGCCTTTGGTGTTCCACAAGTTAAGGCCAACAAAGTGCACTGCGTGGGGTCAGCCTGTCACTCTTGCCTGGCTGACATGGGGCAAGGGGAGGGACAGAGCCTTGTGTCTCATGAAGGATGGTGCCAATGGCAAGGGGCATCTCGGCACAGGAAAGCAGGACATGTGGTGGAGCAGGGAAGGTACAAAGGGCAGCTTTCCAGGTATCCTGCCCAGGGCACTCCCTGCCTGGGCAGGATACTCTGCTCCTTCTGTGTCATTCCTTGGCTGCTGGTAAAGGTGGACCATGGATATGGACCGTGGCCAAAAAAAAATGGGGTACAGGCCGAGAATTTCCTAGAGGCAAGCAAGGGCTGATGCAAGCCCTCATGGGAAAAAGTGAGATAACCCAGTAGCAAAAAGCAACTGCGGAGTCAGGGTGAGAGCAGTGCAGTAGTGACAGAGCAGCACTTCAGGGCTTCGGATCCACTTGGTGCTGGTGACTGGGGCCAACCAGGGCATTGGCCTGGGGCTGGTCCAGCACTTCCTGGGGATGCCAACCCCCCCGCAGTGGGTCTTTGCAGCCTGTCGGGCCCCCACGGAGCAGCGGGCACAGGTGAAGCTGGGCTGGATGCAGCGGGTGCTGCTGGGGACGGGGCACAGGCTGGAGCAGGCAGGGGCTTTGCCAAGGAAGGGCTCCAGCACCGGTGGCACAGGGCAGGGGTGGGACACGGTGGCACTGTCCGTGCATGGGATGTGCTGAGGGGACAGTGGCCCGTGGTGTGAGCAGGAGGCATGGAGCGCTCACCATCCGTCGGCAGGAGCTGGAGCAGGGAGCTGGGTGCGAGGCGAAGCAGGGATGGAGCCGTAGCAACACGAACTGTGCCTGGGGAAGGCTGAGCCTGTGCGCAGCCCCTCCTGCCCTTCCATGCCCACACGACCCCCTCTCCCGCAGGAGCTGCAGCGTTTGGCCTCCAGGCACCGGAACCTGGTCATCATCCCGCTCGGTAGGTGCCCCGAGCCGGTTCCTGCCCCGGTTCCCCTCTCTGCCCAGCACCACAGACCTGGCGAGTGCCCTGGTGCTGTGCACCCAGAGCTGGGAGGCAGCCGTTCCTCTGGGGACACCAGTGCTGCCATCTCCAAGCCAGGATGTGAGGGTCTGAGCTCCCTGTGTCGGCTCTGCAGAAGTCACCGACCCTGCCAGCATCAAAGCGGCTGCAGCCCAAGTCGGAGAGCGCTTGGGGGGCTCGGGGCTCACCCTCCTCATCAACAATGCAGGAATGGTGGTATTGAATGCGCTTGATAAGGAGACACTGGAGGACATGACCCACGTTTACACCACCAACACGATTGGGCCCTTGTTGATGGGCCAGGTGAGACCCTCGCCCAAGCTGAGCTGTCCCGGGGCAGCACCAAAGACTGGTGGGAGGGGGTCCTGCCCCTGCTCCATGTGATGAGAAGCTTGTGGAGCTGTGGGCTGGAGCACAGAAGCTGGAGCCTGGTGGGCTGGGGCAGTGGGAAGAGGAGGAAGGATGCTCCAGTGCTGGTGCCAGCGCTGACCGCTGTGGAAGGAGCTGGTCCTGTCCCCTTTGCCACCTCCATGTGTGCTTTTGTCTCTTTCTCCCTGCAGGCATTCCTGCCCTTGCTGAAGAAGGCTGCCCAGGGGCAGCCCTGGCTCACTGCTGAGCTGCAGCAAGGCAGCCATCATCAACATGTCCAGTCACGGAGTTTCCATCTCTTTTCCTGCTGGTTGGGATCTAATGCAGATTGTCTCATACCGCTGCAGCAAGGTACCACCATGCTGTACTGGGGACAGATTTGCTTCCCCTGCTCTGTCCCTGCCATGGGGTCTGCACGTGACCCCTTGCTGACACCCTTGTCCTCCACTGCCATCCCTGCCCTGTCTGCTGCAGGCTGCTCTGAACATGCTGACCAAGTTCCAGTCCTTGACGTACAAGGAAGATGGTGTCCTCTGTGCTGCTTTCCACCCTGGATGGGTGCAGACTGACTTGGGGAGCTCTGCAGGACACACAGTTGGAGTTTCACCATGGCTGGTCAACCAGAGCCCCTGTGCTCATTCTTCATGGGAGAGAGCTGCTGCTCTGAGCTCCTGATCATGACCTCCCTGCCTGTCCCGTTGCTGCCGGGGCATCTCCCCCTGCCTTGGTCCTGGGTGCCTGGTACCCCCGTCCTCTTGACTCCCTGCTCAGTGCCCTGCTGGTGGCTTTCCCTTTGTCCTTGAACAGCAACTTACCCTGCTCCAGGGCAGCCTTAGCCAGGTCTCAGGCATGGGCTGCCTCTCCTCCTCTGCCCCACAGTCTCCAGTGACAGTGCATGAGAGAATGCAAGGGATGCTGAAAGTGCTCTCCTCTCCTTCTCTCTGAGGAGACCGGCACCTTCCTGGACTGGGAAGGGAATGTTGTTCCCTGGTGAGACGCCAGCCTGGATTCTGGCAGCTGGGCCCTGTGCTGCTGCTCCCACCCACCCCACATCCTCAATAAATCCCTGCCAAGAGCCACCAGCTTTGCTGTCTGCTGACAGCTATATGGGGCAGCCCCGTCCTAGGTGCCCAAATCCTTATCCTGGTGTGTCGCTGTGCCCACTATGGCCCACCCAACCCACAGCTGTCTCTTGTGTCTGGCAACGGAGCTGGGGCAGAGCCCCCTCCCCAGGAGGAGAGAGATCTTTGGAGCATCCATGGGGCTGCTTTTCCCCCTTCCCAGTTGTGGGGCATCCCAGGGTTGTGTGTGCCCTGCCTGAGATCCCCAAGGCGCACAGGGAGCAGCTGCCTTCTCCCCTCAGTTGGGAGATGCTTTGGTCAGAGGCAGGACAGACGGACACACAGTGCTCAGGCTGTTGGTGGGGAGGTTGAGGCTGAGGATGCAGATTAAAAACAAAGAGGCATCAGCTCCCGGTGTTTACAGAGGTGGGGGTTACAGGGGGACTGCAGGGCCACGTGTGGGGTGGGGAAGGGAGAAGTTGTTTCCCACACCCTTCCCATCTCGCTGGCATGAGGGTGAGCAGAGTGACCATGCAGAGGGGTGAACTGGTGAGTAGGAGGCTACAGCATGGGCAAGAGGCAACATTCGTCTGCCTGTTACCAGGGCAGGCTGGTCCCTTCCCAGTCGAGGAAGGCTCTGGAAGTGTCCTGCGAGAGGCTGGCCAGCACAGTCAGGATGCCACGCATGCTGTGCTCCACCATCAGCGGTGCCTGCAGAGGGGACAAGGTGCAGCATCAATGCCATGGGCTGTAACCAGCATGGAAAGCAGCCAGCTTTCAGAGATGACCTTTAGAGAAGCTGCATGGAGACCTCGGAGCAGCTTTCTAGCATGTGAAGGGGGCTGCAAGGATGCTGGAGAGGGACTCTTCATTAGGGACTGTAGTGATAGGACAAGGGGTAATGGGTTTAAACTGAAACAGGGGAGATTTAGGGTAGATCTTAGGCAGAAGTTCTTCCCTGTGAGGGTGCTGAGGCCCTGGCACAGGTTGCCCAGAGAAGCTGTGGATGTCCCATCCCTGGCAGTGTTCAAGGCCAGGTTGGACGGGGCTTGGAGCAACCTGGTCTAGTGGAAGGTGTCCCTGCCTGTGGCAGGAGGTTGGAAGTGGGTGAGCTTTAAAGTCCCTTCCAGTTCAAACCATTCTATGTTCCTGAGGGATGGTTCTTGAACTTGCCAAGAAAAGCTGCCTGGAGGTTGATGCCTGGGATCCTGTTTCAGCAGGTGGGTGAGGTAAATGTCAGGGCTGCTTCTGCAAGGAAGGATAAATCCTTGTGTGCTTTCTCAGCTGCACAAGGACCATGTGTACTCACATCCCAGAGGTGCTTCAGACAGGCAGTGCTCTGAAGGAGATGTGGTTTTGGGTACTTTCAGAGCTAGGGAGGCTTTGTGGTGAGCTGCAAAACTAAAGGTGTCCTCGGATCTCCGGTAGTGTCACCATCATCTCTCGAACACCGTGGCTCAGCCCACCACTGACAGTGAAGGATGCTGCAGTGTCTTTGGTTTGGCTTTGTTTTAACTGCTCTAGTGGAAGGTGTCCCTGCCTGTGGTAGGGGGTTGGAACTGGATGAGCTTTAAGGTCCTTTCCAACTCAAACTATTCTATGATTCTATAATGATCCTGGGGAGCAGCACCCATAGTGCTCATGGGGGTATTTTGTTTACTGCCACAGCCCTGCTGTTTTTGCTGGGTTTGCAGGGACAGGGCTGGTTATCTGTGCACTTGGCACACTGTAGCTTGCTGCCTGTCTGCACCGGGAGATGGTCCCGGAAGCTCACAGCATCACACAACATCCCAAAGTGCTCGAGAGCTGGAGGCACAGTGGGGGTCATGCTGACCATCCCCTGCACAGCCCAGTACCTTCTCTGTTCCCATGTTGGTCTTCACCCAGCCAGGATGGATAGCTGTGCACAAGATCCCCCTGTCCTGGAGCTCCACAGCCAAGCACCTTGTCACCATATTCTGGGCAGCCTGGAAGAAGTAGTGCCATGCCAGCATGACCTGGGGTATGGGTGGGCTGGAAGGGGGACTTTTCCCAGCCACAGGGTGGGAAATAGGACCTGGCTGTGGGGTACAGCATTGGCACAACCCCCTTGAAAGGCTCAGTCCTGGGTCCTGCTGTCTTGGTCTCCAAGCTGACACTTGGAAAACCAGGCAGGGTGTGTGTGACCCCTCCACATGCCCTGGGCATGCAGAGCATCCCCAGCACTGTCCCTGGCTCCTCACCTCACTGGCACGGTATGGGTACATGGGGGCCTGGTGCACACCAACGCACAGCCCGATGGAGCCCAGCTTGGTGGAGACGTTGATGATGGCAGCCCTGCTGCAGCTCAGCCCCTCTTGCCCTGAGCCCTTTGCTGCCTTCTCCAGGAGTGGCAGAAATCCCTTGCCAAAGACACAGATGCTCTGTTAACATGGGACAAGCCTTGAGCTTGAGGTGCGCCCTGGAGGTCTCTGTTGCAGACCACGGGAGAGACACCTCCAGCAGAAGGGCAAGGGAGGGGAAGGATGCCCCAAGGAGGGTCCAGGCTCAAGCCTTTCCTTTCCCCAAGGAAAGAGCAGGAAGGAGCTCCAGATAGAGAGCAGCAGAGCACTGGAGATGCTGGGTATAGGCTGAGTTGCCTCCCTGCTCCTTCAGGTGGGTAGAGGCGACCCACGGTCCTGGTCTTGCCTCATCAGTTCTACTCATTTGAGAGAGCCAGAACCCACCCAGAAGCCACCTTTGCCATGGAGAACATCTCCCCAAGCAGGAGAAACCCAAAAGGTACCCTGGCAACCTGGAGGGGCCCAATGGCATTGGTGGAAAACACAGAGAGCATCTCCTGGGAATCCAGAGAGTGCAGCATGGTGTGCGAGCTGACACCCGCGTTGTTGATGGGCAGGTTCAAGCCCTGGTCCTTCAGATGAGACCCCAGAGCCCGCACGGCCCCATGGATGCTGGGCAAGTTCACAGTGTCTGCTGGGGCAGAAAGCAAAGTGGAGGAGAGCTCCAGTGGTTCAGCTTCCAGTGCCTAAAACAGCTACAAGAAACCTGGAGAGGGGCTTTGGACAAGGGCCTGTAGGGACAGGACAATGGGGAATGGCTTTAACCTGACAGAGGGGAGACTGAGATGAGATCTTAGGCAGAAGCTCTTCCCTGTGAGGGTGCTGAGGCGCTGGCACAGGTTGCCCAGAGAAGCTGTGGCTGCCCCATCCCTGGCAGTGTTCAAGGCCAGTTTGGATGGGGCTTGGAGCAACCTGGTCTAATGGAAGGTGTCCCTGCCTGTGGGGGCAGGGCAGGAGCAAGAGAGGAGGTTAGAAGTCACCAGCGGCACGGCCCTGCTCCCACCCCAGCTCCCTGGCCACCCCAGCTCAAGCTGGGCCGTGGTGGCTTTGCTTTTGTCAAAGTGTGTGGAGCTATTCTCTGGGATCAGGGCATCCCTGTGGGCAGGAGGAGAAGTGTACTGCTGGGCTCAGGCACTGCCCCTGTCCTGGGTGATCCCACTATGGAGAAGGGCCATGAGCATGGCCAGAAGGACACGGGCACCATGTCTGAGGATATAGGCACCGTGTCTGCTCCTCCAGCCTCATCCCACCCAGCTAGGTTAGGGGTTGGGGGTTATGAGACCCCACCCGAGCAGCCCTGTCCCTAGTGCCAGACTAACCCAGCCAGGGCGGTGAGCTGGCAGGGCGGCAGGGACCGCACGTTCCCACCACCTGCCCCATTCAGGACCATCCCCACGTCCCACACCTTCACTGACCTTCCGTCGTGGCCCGCCGGGGTCACGGCATGTGGCGAAGATGTGCTGCGGGGGCCGGGGGCTGGCAGCGAGCTGCCTCACGAGCTCCAGCCCGATGCCGCGGTTGGAGCCTGTCACCGGGACGCTGCGAGCCAGCGCCGCAATCCCTGCGGTGACACACTGCGGGACTGGGAGAGGAGCCGGCCACAGCCCAGCGTGTGGCTCCAGGCGCCCATGGGGACAGGGACGATGCCAGCAGCAGCCCTGGACCCTCGCCTGCCCCAGGCACAGCCAGGGTGCCAGGAAAACCCCGCGCACAGGGCTGGATGGCTCCTGTGGCACCCAGTCCTCCCCCGCTAAAGCCCCAGCTCCCAGAGGCACTGTAACAATAGCAGAATTGTCACCTCTAACAAAAGCTTGGAAAAGCACTTGGAAACACCACCAGGAATAGGAAAACAGTTCCACATAACTGTGGCTGGTAATCTTCCAGTCTGAGGGGTGAGTTTGGGATGGCTGAAGCCAGGGATGCTAATCCAAAGCCCAGCCTAGGAAGCACGGGAAGAGCATTTCTGACACTGGAAGCTCAACTGGTGCCAATGCTTTCACGGAGAGAAGATCTTCAGCTCCCTGCAGCCCTGACCACCCGCTGCTGCTGCACCAAGCACACAGCCATCACCCTTCTCCTTCCTGGAGGACAATGCTGGATGCTCCTCAGCTCAAGAGGTGCCTGCAAAGCCAAGGCTCCTGTGGCACAGACATGCTTGGGGGCATGGATTTTCAGGAGGCAGAGGTAAGGTGCCAAAAGAAACTAAGAACTACCATGTAAAAAGCCTCAGCTGAAACAGAAGAATTGGTGAAACCTGAGTTTAAGGGGGGTAAGGAAATAAGAAGTAAGTAGTGGGGAGGGGGCTGTCACACCTGAATGTGCCCAAAGGGACACATCTGTTGCCCAGCCTCACTCAGCCTGGTGGAGGGGACAGAGCTGACTATTCCCCAAGTATCTGAGTGGTTCCAGATCTGACAGTCACCAAAGAAATACCCAGACCAGCAGCTGGGCAATGGTGAAGGGGCTCCCACTTGGAAGGTGTGTTTTCAGGGGACACAGAGCATGGAGGGGAAGCAGCAGTGATGTTTCCTTCCCTCTTGGTGGGCAGACTGCAGCCCCCATGAGAGGTAAGCATGGTGGGTATGGATTTGGATGCTGTTAGACACAAACCCACTGTAGCAGGCATTGCTGAGGCTATAATCATCTGCCCAAGCAATTGCGCTGCACAGACCTGCCCGCTCCTGCTGCTATGTGCACGCAGCGTCCAGAGCCGCATTCCCTTAGGAGCCAACAGGACTGGAGTTTCCACTTTTCCTTCCAGGCTCCTTGGTAAAGAGACCAAAGTAAAGTGAAGAGGGCTGCAGGCCAGCATCGAGCTGGGAAGGCAAGTGCAAGTAACCTTTGGAAAGGGCTAACTGATGGCAAGAAAGGCCAAGAAGGACAGAAGCACAGACATATTCATGGCTCAAGAACCACTGCTTGGGCAGAAGGGATGCTCTGGGGAAGAGAGGACACCAAGCCACCAGATCCCAACACTGCAGAGGCACCTGGGGACCACTCATGTTAGAGAGGACTCTGCTCCAAGAACTCTCAGGAGGAGCAGGGTCACCAGTGACTTCAGATCAGGTTAGCCAGGGGTTGAACCAGACCTCACAAACCTGCAGGGACCCCACATTCTTCCTGAGCTCCCTTTTGAGACAAGGAGGCACAAAAGCACAAAATGTAATCAGTTCTAAGTAACCTTAAGTTTGATGGCTTTGTAATGGAAAATAACTGAGGTGCTTGAAGGTAGTTGACATAGTTTCAGGTCCTTAGGATCTTAGTACAAAAAGTGTAAGAAAAGCAGGAGAGAAAAACAGGACCTGGGGATGGGGAGTATCTGGGACTAGCAGATGTCCAGGGTGGGCACAGTTAAACTAACTGGTAAGTAAAAGGACAGGATGATTGCTATGTCTGTAATGTTAATTAAGCTGGTGCTTCAAAGACTGCCAGAAGTGATGAAGATTGTTGGGAGAAGTAAACGACCCTCAGCGACCACCACCACGTTTTTGTATGCATGCGGGAAACTTTCTGGAAAATGATGTAATTCATCTGTAGCCTCATGAATATATATGTATGCCCAGGGACTATGTAAGGATTGCCTGTGTAGCAATACGGGGACACAGACTAGGAGGAGCTATCCTCCGTGTCTCCTGGCGCCGCAATAAAGAATACCAACTTGTCAACGTGAAACTTTGTTGGAGTGTTTGTTCCTGGAGTTTTCTCTGAATCACTTTCAATGCTTGACAGTGATTTTTTTTTTGTCAGTGTGGCACCCACCACATTTCACTGTATGACTGTCCTCACAGTGAATTTTTTGTCAACATGGCACCTCCCCTGTTTACGTGCCCTTGGATTGCATGTCCCTACCCCATCAACTCCCCAAATGTATGACTAGAGCATGTTCCTAATGAGTGACACCCACCCCCCTGCACCTCTTAGCCATGACCTTGTCCTCTCAGACCCATGCAAAGGCACTGTAGCCATTACGTCCCACAGCAGGGAAGCTGACAGGGCTTTGGTCGCTACCTGCAGCAGCCACCTTGACCACCATCCCCAGCCAGCTCCCTGGCCTCCACATCCCCTCCTTAGCTGCTTTTGCAGCCCACTGCTGTCCCGATACCAGAAGTGAAGGACCTGGAGCACAAGTGTGATGGGGAACAGCTGAGGGAACTAGGGAGGTGGGGTGACGGTGTGTGTATTAGTCTGGAGAAGGCTCAGGGGTGCCTGTATCGCTCTCTGCAACTGCCTGACGGGAGGATGGAGCCAGGAGGTGGCTGGTCTCTGCTCCCAAGGACTAACGGATAGGACAAGAGGAAACGGCCCCAAGCTGCACCAGGGGCGGTTTAGGCTGGATATTAGGGACAGTTTCTCCCCCAGAGGGCGCTCAGGCATTGGAACAGGCTGCCCAGGGCAGTGGTGGAGTCACCATCCCTGGAAGTGTTCACAAACCGTGTAGACGAGGCCCTCAGTGCCATGGTTCAGTGGTGGCCTTGGCAGTGCTGGGGAATGGCTGGACGTGAAGGTCTCTTCCAGCCCAGCAGACTCCACGGCTCCGTGACCCTACACCAACAGCGCAGCAGGACTCGCACCCCCAACACGGCAGCTCCCAGCGCCCCTTCACCACCACCACCGCCGCCGCGTCCCGTCCCGTCCCGTCCCGTCCCGTCCCGTCCCGTCCCGTCCCGTCCCGTCCCGTCCCCATTGCATCAGCCGGCGAGAAGCACAACCCCCGCGCCGACAGAGGGGAGGGGCGGGGCTTTACCCGGAGCCATGGCCGCGCAGCCAATCGGGAGCTGTCGCACGGCGATGAGCTCAGAGGGGCGGGGCGGAGCGGCCGCTGCAGAGGGGCTCGCCTAGGGGCTGCGGCAGCGGCGGCTGCGGAGGTAGGGAGGTACGGCCTGAGGGGGGGCGAGGAGAGGGCGGAGGGACGGGGAGCGCAAGCGGCAGGCAGGCAGGCAGGCAGGCAGGCAGGCAGGGCGGGCGGCAAGGGGGCCACGGCGGGCAGCGCGAGGGGGAGGGGGAGGGAAAGGGGTGGTGGTGCCGCCGTGCTCAGTGCTGGGGTCTCCTCGCCTCAGCCGGGGCCGCCGGGGGATGCGCGTCTGCCGGCTGTGGTTGGCTTCTCGCAGGGCTGCCGGGCCCCCGCTGCCTCTCGAGGGCACTTGAGACCAGATGGAGTCTGCTCGGAGGCCCTGCTGCGCCGATTCATTCCTTCGCTGCTCGAGTCCTGCCTTCCCTCCTTCATGCAACGCCTCGCTGGCCTTGGTACAATGAGGAATTGTTGTCCCTGCACCAGAGCAGGGTGGGGGAAGCTTGGCCCTTCAGACGATCGCATTGCGCTTCATCGGCAGGGTACAGCTTCCTGTACGCTCTAGGCTGTACAGGAGGTGTCACCCGTCTGATGTGTGTGCGGCAGTGTGGTTCCTCTCCGGGGAAAGCACCCGGGCACCTCTGGAGTGACCCTGCTTTGAGCAGGAGGGGTGGATGACGTGATCATTTCCAAACCCAGCCCTTCCATAATCCTGTGATTTAATCACCTTGAATGGTTTTAGGACTTGGCGATCCCCCGCCATGTCTTCAGCAGAGCAAACGCAACCTTTTACTGAGTTCAGTATCCAGGTGAAATTGGTATTTTAAAGCCACGTGTTTTCAAAGGACAAGTAACTTGATGTAGAGAGCTCTAGAAGTCAGGGAGGAAGTTTGCAATCGGGCAGCACTATTTGGGACAGGCTGATGGTTGAACTGAGGAGTCAGTGACAGTACTTAACCAGTGTGAGGAGACCCATTCAGGAGATGGAGGCAGTGATCCTGATGTTACTTCTCGAGCTGACTGACAACATGTAAGAACCTTATTTGTTGTTCCTTCAGACTGCACCAAGGCCTTGCTACCTTCCGCTTGCTTTGGACAGCTGTAACTTGCAGTTTCAATATGGAGACTATGCTAACAGCAAGCCAGATCCGGCAACAGTTTATTGACTTCTTCAAGAAAAATGAGCACGTCTATGTGCACTCATCTTCTACAATCCCCCTGGATGACCCCACACTGCTTTTTGCCAATGCTGGTATGAACCAGGTAGGATTCCCACTCTGGTACTGTGGTCCTTATGGACGTGTCCTGTATCAGTTGACACCTGTGAAGCTGTTTTATGTGGAAGACTTATTGTTTTCTCCATCTTCCTTCTGGTCACACAGAGGTGATTGGTGTGTCTGATGGAGCCCACTGTGCTCTTGCAAAACTGGCAAGAGTGTTGGAAGAGGTTCCTGTGTCTGCTGGGATGACTGTGCAATAATGGGAGCACTGCCAGTCTCCCTTCTTTGACCGTTTGTACTACAGCTGGTCCTGGCACAAATGGCTGACAGCAGTTTTAAAGAGTGGCTGAGGCTGGGCTGCTGAAAAAAATTACTTTCTTTTGTCTTTGTTGACTGGGAATCTGTCTGCTTTCATTCCTGTTGGAGATCCTGGGGTTTGGTGTACTCCAGGAACATGTGTGTATGTAGGAATGCTAAGCTCTAGGCACTGCTGCAGTCTCCTCACAGGCAGGAGACAGCAGGCTTGTTTCTGAAAGCTGCCTTGGGTGTATCCAGGCTAGTGGTAACATGACATAGATAACACTTACCTCCTTGCTGTTGCTTCCAGCATTTGAAAACAGGCTCTTGGTGGTTATCTTGATTGCCCTTTTTTTCTTTCCTTTCAGTTCAAACCCATTTTCCTCAACACTATTGACCCGTCACACCCACTTGCTAAACTGAGCAGAGCCACCAACACTCAGAAGTGCATCCGAGCAGGCGGCAAGCACAACGACCTGGATGATGTTGGGAAAGATGTCTACCACCACACCTTCTTTGAGATGCTGGGGTCCTGGTCCTTTGGGGATTATTTCAAGGTAAAACAGACCAGGTGCAACTCTGAATCTCTTGCATGAAGTTACCTGTCTCTGAACTCAGCAATTGCCAAGAAGAAAGAGAATATCTTGGCCCAGAGCGGTTCCTAAGGCACATGTGGCTCCTTTGGAATTAATGAACTTGGAAGTTCTCCTGAACCTGCAGAATGTTTTGAGATTAATTACTTCGGCCTTACAAAGCTGATTATATTAATATTGTGGTTTAAACCCAGCCGATAATTTTCAGCACCAGTAGCTGCTCGCTGATCCCTCAATTGGGATGGGGAGAATAGAAAGACTTTAAACCCGACTGGTTTAGATAATATCAGTTTAATAACTAAAGTATAATATAATACTACTAATAATAATGATAAGGGAAATTATAAGGGGAGAGAATATAAAACTTAAAGGGAGAAACCCAAGTGACACATAAGGCAATTGCTCACCACTCACCAGCCAATACCCAGCCTGACATGAGCAGCGATCTGGCCTTCTGGTTGACTCCCTGCAGTTTACATACTGGGCATGATGTGCTGTGGTATGGATGTGCTAGCCCCTTTGGCTAGTCTGGGCCAGGTGTCCTCTCTGCTTCCTCCTCGCTTCCTATGTCCCTGCTCACTGGCAGAGCATGAGACTGAAAAGTCCTTGATCAGGGTAAGTGCTACTGAGTAACAGCTAAAACATGGGTGTGTTACCAGCATTGCTCTCACACTAAAGCCCAGACGCAGCACTGCACCAGCTACTGGGAAGAAGAAAGATAGCTGTTACGGCTGAACGCAGGATAATTAACTCTGCCAGTTTGGACTCTTCAGGCAGAGGTTTTAGTGGCTGTCCTGTGGGGACTTGTATGTGCTGAGAGACAATGATGGACCTTCAGACAGGAATGATCATAAAATAATGGTGTCCTTTCCCAAGCTCCTTGATAATACAGTGTTCGAATTCAGAAAGATAGTGTTGAGAACACAGAATAAGAGCTGAATTAAAAGGCTTTTGAAGGGGCAGTGAGCATGCTGAGAGTTAACTTATCTGCCTCTGGAAAGCCACATGAGATGCTTCTCATGACCTATTTGCTCCATATATTAATCTGCTTCCTTCTTACATCAGAAGTCTGAAAGTTTTTGGCTGTTCAGCTGCTGATACCTACAGTAGCCAGTACTCTGCATGTTGAAGAGAAACTCTTCTTGTATTCACTTGCTGACCTCATCTTTCCTTCTGCAGGAACTTGCTTGTAAACTGGCACTGGACCTTCTCACCAAGGAGTTTGGCATCCCTGTTGAAAGACTCTATGTTACTTACTTTGGTGGAAATGAGGCGGCAGGACTGCAGCCGGACCTGGAGTGCAAGCAGATCTGGTTGGATTTGGGGTAAGGCCTGAGGAAGGTGTGTGTCTTGTTGAGCAATAGTCATTCAAAGAAAGATGGTGTGTATTCTGTGGCAGAGCACATGTAACAGGAAGTTTTAACAAAATCAAAGGATCACAAATGTTTGCAGGGTGGTGGTGCTGCAAAACAAAAGGGAAGTACTGGTATTAGCTAGAAGATACTGAGAGCTTTCATTTCAAAATCTCTTCTGTAAGCTTAAGAGCATAAGAAGTGCCCACTGGGTCAGATCGCAGCACACTGTGCTTCCTCTAATGCTTGAGAAGATGCTGTTTTTACAAGAGCAGGCATGCCTGACTGCTGTGCAGTCCGTTCACCTCCTCTCCCCCCAGCATCCAGTCACTGGATTAACTATGTTAGACGGCTAGCCATCTATTCCCCTTAGCTTCTGTCTGGGGCCCTGCTCCTTCAGAGTATATCTGATCCTGTTTTTCTGAATCTGAGTCATAGTCTCCCAGCCTTGTACGCTCAAAATTGGAGAGTCTGACTCTTTTCTTTACTCTCTTCCTAAGGTAGCTGTTCCATTCAGCAACCCAGGAGCTCTCCCTCCAGCTGGGACAAGTGTCAGGTGCCAGTATTGACTTGATCCTCCTCAGCAGGAGTCATGAGAAATTAGTCCTCTTGGATTAGCCTCTCTCAAGACTCCTGACAGTTTATCAGCTCATCCAGGGAGTTAGTGAGCTGAGGTTTTTCTGGTACAGTTCTTAGTTTGGGAAATTCTTGCCTTGCTGTTAGTGTCTGTTTTTCAATAGGAATTTCTTGCTACAGGCTGGCTGAGGGCAGGATTCTGCCTGGCAATATGAAGGATAACTTTTGGGAAATGGGAGACACGGGGCCCTGTGGCCCTTGCAGCGAGATCCACTATGACCGGATTGGAGATAGAGACGCTTCACACCTGGTCAATCAGGATGATCCCAATGTCCTGGAGATCTGGAACCTGGTGTTCATACAGTTCAATAGGTGAGCCAGACCTGTTTCCCTCCCGAGGCTGCTTCAGCTCAGATTCTGTATTCTTTTACCTTCCCCTGGCTTGCTTGCCATTCCCTTTTGTCCAGGATCTGTGCACTTTGTGGTGCTCTGTGCCCTGACTGTCCTGTATAAAAGAAGCTGGTCACACTGGCTTTGGGGACAGACTGGAAGTATTTTCTTAGTTATCTGCCAAGAGTTCAGTAGGGGATAAGTGCCATCCCACTTGGGGTCTAGATTGTCACTGCGGGTCTTGTTAACTGTATTTTATCAAAGTTGTCCTTTGTGTGGCTTGTGCATGGGCTCACATCATAATCTTGATGGCACAAAATCTCCTGGAGATGAGGATTTCCTCATGGGAATCCATGGAGATGGGGTTTCCTCTGCAGAGCCTCCATCCATCACAGCTCATCTTTCTTTCTGTGGCTGGGCAGGGAAGCTGATGGGGCACTGAAACCTCTTCCTAAGAAGAGTATTGATACTGGGATGGGCCTGGAGAGGCTGGTCTCTGTGCTGCAAAACAAGATGTCCAACTATGACACTGACCTT